ATCCTATTTCTTCTTCAGTGATTGTATCTAGTTCTAGCTGGATGCTGTTGTTAACTTGCTGAACCTCAATTATTGGAGTTACTTCCTCTATTGCATTTGCTAAGTCCGGTCTGATGTTGATATAAAAGTGGTTAAAGGCATTAGCTATCTCCTTATCAGTTTTTAGTACCGAGCCGTTCTAGTTTAATTCGGTTGCTGTTGTTCCTTTATTCCTTACTTGTCCAGTAGCTTCCTTTCTGGTGGTCCATATAGAGCTGTTATTGCTGATTGCATTGTTAAGTTTACTTTGGAGATATTCCTTCTAAGTTCATTGGTTTGGGCACAAATTAATTTATATTCTTCTGTAGTCATGGTATTTTTTGTGTAGGTTCTGGTCAATTTATATAGCCGTGCCTTTGCTTTAGATAGTTTGACTAGTTCCTGAGTTGTCCATGGGTTAAGTTTTCTCATTCCTTTTTGCAATTTGACTTCATACTCAGATTCTTCTATGGAGTCAGTTATCTCCTTGTGTAAATTGTATGCAAAATCATTAACATCTTCAAATTCAGTTGAGTTTTAACTTGTTTTCCAATATTTCATTAAGTTTATCATAATTTATTTTCTTTTGTTTTATTATATCTTCTTCATGCCTGTTGTTTTCTTTGTTGTGGTTCCATAGTATCAGGTTGTGGTCACTCAATGCGTTCTCTATGGTGAGAACATCTAGGTGGCCTTTTGTTAAGTTGGTTGCCAAATGATCAATTAAAGATGCACTTTCCGGTCTTGTGATCAAGGAGTTGTGGATTTTATACCCTTGTGATGCAAATGTCGAGATGTGGTTATCTGCACTTGGGGAGTTGAGGTTTATATTATGGTCACCAATTATTAGTGTTGGTTCATTTTTACTCGTTCTTTACCTGCCTTTTACTCATATGCTATGAGGTAAAAAGAACGAGTATTGTCTTTGGTGTGGCTTAATTTAGAAACATCAATTGATCTCAATGAATATGATAGGTACAAGTATGAATGTATGATCATTTTATTCAGTGAACTGTGCCTCACATTTCATAATAGAGGTATTTTTGACTTTTGAGTAGAAAAATTTTGGCCTT